TGTGTGTGTGTGTGTGTGTAAGAGAGAGAGTGTCTCTCTCTGTGTGTGTGTGTGTGTGTTTGTGTATGTGTGTGTGCATGTGCGTGTGTGTGTGTAAGAGAGAGAGTGTCTCTGTGTGTGTGTGTGTGTGTGTGTGTGTGTGTGTGTTTGTGTATGTGTGTGTGCATGTGTGTGTGTGTGTGCATGTGTGTGTGTGTTCAAATCTTGAACAGTTTCGGTTACCTTGATGGTGTAGAGATGATCAGGCTCAAGCCCCGACAGCATGGTCTGCATCCAGCCCTTGTGGATGTCCATGGCCATGAGGGTGACATTCTCCGTCTCCCGCTGTACATGGCCCTCTGACGTCACCGTGGAGAACTGCACCACGTAGCTCACATGTTCCGGAGGCCCGTTGAATTTGTGAGGGGGCAGCCATTTTACCTGGATTCTCTCGGGGGTCAATGGGGTCACTATGACATCCCGGGCTTTGTCAGGAACTGTTGGACATTGAGGGCACAAGGACAAGTCGTGTTAAGTGATACTACAGGTGCAGACAATCTCCATTTATCACAAACACAAAGCACATCACAGAAGTTGAAATGTGAGAGAAGATTTGATAGCTTTGTCCCAAGTGAATCATGGAAGGGGGAATGTGTCTAAAAATTCAGCAAACGCATTCTTTGAAACAAAGTTTTCAAACTGAAGAATCAGCTTTCATGAGAACCGGATTTGTTTTCACAGTATTTCTTTTTGAGCCATTTACATCAATATTGACAAAGTAACAATAACAGCTGGGGATAGATTCATACTGTCCTTTTCAAATATTGACTTCTAGCAGTCAACGATCGTAACAATGCACAGAGAACAGAGACGCTCTTTCCCTTGAAATTGAAAAACAAAGACACATTCTGAAATACGAAAAGCACTTAAGTTTTCATTAAAGAGAAGATAAAACAATATAAAAAGTAACTGAACCAAGTCAATGAACCCACCTCCGAATTTCGTTGTGAAGATAAGAGGTTCACTCATGGCCTTGGACAAATACTGAGTGTAATAGTTGCTCACAGCTACCTGGATCAGGTACTTTGTGTATGGTTCTAGCTTTGTCAAGTGAACCGTGGTACTGTAAACTTCCTGTTCGTAGTAACAAATATAAATATTGATATTAATACTACTACTGATGATGATGATGATGATGATGATGATGATGATGATGATGATGATGATGATGATGATGATGATGATGATGATGATAACAATAATAATCGACGATACCACAGTAACAACAATAGCATGACTAATAACATCAATAGTGAAGAAACTATTCAGGAGACAGGAGATCCTACCCGAGGGCTAAAACCTTTAATACTGGGCCTAACGACTTGCAACTTAGCATGCAATTTACTCCAGATGTAAACATCATTTTGTAAAAAAAAAATTATCATTATGGTTTTCCTTTCATTGGCCGCCATCTTGAACCTTACATCATTTCAACAAAATGCTATTCCTCTGAACTTTCCGATGGAATTGTTTGCGTTTCAGAAATATCTAGGCAAATGAGTTATTATCATCGTATAGGAGACGTTTTCTAATATTTTGTGCAACTTTTTGTTATAGTATGTCAAAGGATAATATAATTTCAACCGCATAAGGAAGAACTTTCAAAGCCATACATTAATTATTCATAAAGACAGCAGTGAAAACAAAACACATCAGCACCTGCAAAAACACTCTAACCGACCAAGTCAAACTAACTTCAACAAACGAGGCTTACCAAATCGCTGAAACGTATTAGGATGTGTTTTTGCCTGAGATCTTATGGCAAAGAGATCCAAATTTTACAACCAGAAAATGAAAAACAGGCTAAACTACTCCCAGAGACATGGATTGCTGGTGCCTCTATAGATAAATTATGGTCTAAAAATCAATCCACCTCCTGCAAGATCTAAAATGAACATCAACCAGTCGAAGCCAGCAGCACAGTTTACCTGAATCTGACACAACTCCACAGAGCTTTGGCAGTCCTGGGGGCTGGCTCCAGCTTTGTGTGGCTCCACCTTCTTGTAGTAGACGGTGTACTTGTCCACGGGGGCACTGATCCCCCCACAGGCGGCCGGCCGTATCGGAGCAGACAGGCGGAGGTGGATGGCCGTCGTGTTGATGCTCACAGTCTCTACTGTTGAGTTGTAGGCTCCGGGATCCAGGCATCCTGAGTCTATAAAATTGAAATGGATGGGTGGGGGTGGGGGTGGGGGCGGGGTTTCATTAATATTATATCATCATCATCATCAATCATCATCATCATCATCATCATCATCATCATCATCATCATCATCATCATCATCATCATCATCATCATCATCATCATCATCATCATCATCATCATCATCATCCAGTGCCAGATCTGAGGCAGACATAAAGCTACGTTACCCTATTATCATCATCTTAAAATGTAGAGGTATGTAGACTGTAACTGTAAACTAGAGTCTGTAGGGTAAAAATAAATACGCTCTTCGAAGTTGCACGTAGAAGTCATGAGTTCGATTCCTGGGTAGATAACAACAAAATTGCTGTGTGGGGGCAAGCCTGTCTATGATCTCGGTCTTATTTCTGGAAGGCTATATCCAACTCACAAGATCCACAGGACTTACCAAAACAATCCTGCAAGGAACCGTGCAGGGAAAGAGAAAGAGAGGAAGGCAGAGAAGGACAAGGGAGGACAACATTATCGAGTGGACAGGAAAGACGATGGGTGACAATCTGAGAAAAGCAGAGGACAAAAATAGATGGCGAGAGCTGGTTTTCAGATGCAGTGGTGCCCCCACGGGTGCCCCAACCACGGGATAAGAGAAGAAGAATAAGAAGTATCCAACTCAGTGGCCCTGACAGGCAGGGGTGAAGCAACCAGTCTCCTATAAGGTCTAACTTGTTTTTGGGGTGTAAACATGGGATCACCCAATCAGAACTACGGCAGGCAGAGAGCAACTTACACTGAGCCATATGTTATTGTGACACTGACAGGATGGGCAAAGTGATAGTAAATTTACCATAAAGTTGCTGATTGATTCGATTACACCCCCTCCTCCTCAACCACCCCCCTCCCCTTCCAGGTCTATGGCACCAGCGTCTATGGTGCAGCGGTTAGGCGCTCTGCTGCCGCACACAGGACTCACAGGACACCCGAGTTTGATTCGCAAATTTATGAGAAAATTCTTATCGAGTGTCTGACTTTCTGCTGAGGTGTTTCACACCTTTCAGACCGGGTTGGCCCTGACAGGCAGGTAGGAAGCTCGCCTCCTAAATGATATAAATTGTGTTGATAGAAGTGTAAAAAATACCCATATATAAAATATATGCCTTGGGCAAATACCTGGTAACGGCTGCAGATGTGATCCGTAGGCCAAGATATCCTGCACCCCGGGTAGATCCTGGACGATGAGACCTTGTCCGGAGCTTTTGCTGATGCTGTACAGCCGTCCTTCTGTCGTGTTGTACCACGTGACTCGCTTGTGATCAACGGCCAGCAGATCTGGTGGCAAACCTACGAGATACACGATAACAGTCGTGAATTGTTCAGTTGCGAGTGGTACAACTGGTCAATACGGCAGTTCAAATTCAAATGCACTGAAAATGGGGAAGGCAGTTGGAAATACAATTAAAAGCAGAACCATCATGTTTTTTAAGCTTTACATTCCGAGAATGTGAACATACTAATACGGCCAGTGGAAAAGATGGATGAGATAGTTGAAATGACTACTAATTATAAGAGGCGATGTTGTTATTATGTATTATCATGAAAACAGGGGTGGTAGTTAACAAGTTGAAAATAAATAAACAGCAGTCTTTTATATAACTGATCATTTTGAAAATGTGATCAGATTGAAACGGAGGTAATGACATGAGTGAAAGAGTGATATAATAATACGTGAAGGAACAAAAGGTGATGACAATTATGAAATTTGCAACTGCAGCAAAGACTGCAGTTCACTAACAACCAGACAGGGATTTGCATCCAGCTTCTATACATTGTAACCCAGCCCGCGAGTTTACAGAGTGCTACAGCTGGAAAGAAAACGCAATGGGACAGAGTAAGACAGCTTTTTCCACCGTGATATCAAAGCCAGAGACAGTTCGATAAAGTGATGTGCTACTTTCAGTTCAGATCTGTCATTCAAGTTTTCTGATTAAGGAGTGACTGAAAGAGAGAGAGAGAGAGAGAGAGAGAGAGAGAGAGAGAGAGAGAGAGAGTGCGAGAGAGGGAGAGAAACCATCCATTTGTGGATAGTTAAATTCCAATGTTCAGAGAACCAGTGTAGGCAGTGGAAGCTAGGAATAGTTTGAACTATAGGACGTC